TGTTTCTGCATTTTGATAGTTTATATTTATTGTAGTCATCTAAAATAATCCTTTGAAAATAGCATTTTAGGTACTTTATCTTGGCATTAAAAACTGTTTCAAAAGAACATTTTACACTGTAAAACACAAATGCGATGTCAGTGGGCTATCTTTACAGAGTAATAAATTAAAATACAAGGAACATAGTTTCTACCAATTTTTTTCTTATCGGAAACTAAAGGGCCATGTAAGTGTGAGAAGTTTACAAACATTATATAAAGCACCAATTTATACCTCACCCCAAACCCCATCCTTTATAGGTATAGTAAACGATGTCTATATTAATTTTGTATTCTGTGTGTTTAATGTTTTATTTCACCGAGTCTATAAGCATATATATATCACAATGAAAAATGCAGCATGGACCAGCCCAATACAATCTTAACATGGCCTTCCAAAAGAAAAATTTTAAAGCCAAAACAAAACAACAGCAGCAAAAACCTGATAAAGCTAATGCTGAGAAGATACAAGTAAGAAACAAAGGCAAGTAACACATTAGGAATGATAATATTCACCATAGCTACACATTTCCACTAAGAAATTATCTCCATATGCATTACCTCTCAGACATACTATCTTACAAAATAAAGTTATAACACATACTACAAGATGTACATCTTTAATCCTAAGAAAGGAAAACTCAACTAAAATGCTAATCTAAGAAGGTGGGAGATTGCTAGAAATGTAACAATTGCATTTGTGACTTAAAAATGTCATAAAACCCTTTGATGAACAAGAAAATATGCCTTGTGGAATATTGTATTTGGGGGTAAGGTTATTTTACTTGAAAATATATTCATGATTTCCTTGTGCTTTATGTAATTCTTTTAAAAAATAAGTTCAAATTTAGGCTCACCCTAAAGTGTTTTAATTATGAGAAGCAATATTTTGAAACTTATACAAGCCATCACATTTGTTTGGAAACAAATGACTTTTCAAGATGAAGGAGTCTAACTATCCATCACCAACAAGTTAATTCTACATAATAAGGCAGGTTTGGATGCAAACTGATCCATTGTGGAATGCTGTATCTAAAATTGATTACAACAGCCCTCAAAATGAATGCAGCCCTCCAAACCACTTCTTTCCTCAGAAACATTAATCTCAATTAGAAGGAGAGCTTCATAATGGTAATGCTCAGTATAAAAAAGTATAAAATAAATCAGGTTTTATAAGACACAACAATTAATCAGTTTTCAGACTAAGATTTTTTTTGAAGTACGAAATTTCCATCAGGACTCTTAAAACAGCTGGTATCTCCAAAATTAGGTTTTAAATGTGTTCTAAAAGAAGCTGGCAACTTAGTTGCTGAAACTTTTAAATAACACTGAATCATGGTGCTACCTTTCCATTACAGTTCTTCATTCTGAATATATGTGTTTGCCTTCTCAGGATTACCCTTCCACTTAGTAAGAAATAATGAACACGGATTTCGACTGAAAAGTCCAGTGAAATCTATAATTGGATGTAAAAGTTTGGTGGCAAATTATTATAGCCTTTGCTTACACTCTCAATCTACGCAAAGAATAGGGATTTTGAAAGTCAAAATGGACATTTGACAATCAAAATAAAAGATGGGGTGGATAAGCTATATGTTTAACAGGTATCCAAAGCACGGACTGAAGGAAAGGGCAGACGATTTATGACTGTTGCAGAATATACTGATCCACCAAAGAACCATACTTGGATGACAAGCTGCTGCCATCCAGAATTCAAATGTAAAATACGATTTAATGAAAAGAGATACAGGTATAGTAAAATAATCAATAATCTAATAAAGCTGGCTTATTTGGGGCATTTTTCTATTGAACGGTGATCACACTCTAGCCTTATCTTGTCTCATGTAAGGTAAACTTCTAGCATTTTCCAAACATACTTTCACAGCTCTTGCAAAAACATGATCATTTTTGTACATCCAATCCAACATTGATTCAGTGTTTCTAACAGGTCATTCCACTCATAATGGTAGCCATACACATTTTCCTGTTTTTTTATTTGTTTGACTCTTTACAAAGAGAATAATTACCTTTAGCTCCCAGAAGCAAAATCAAAGAAAGATTAGCTTGAACTTACTAACTAGATCATTATTGGTTAGCTAGGTTCTCTTTCAGAATAAATGCAAAACTTTTCACTTTCTTTGGAGGCTTTCTTCTATTCAAAGATAAGTATCCTTATCTTTCTTTGTCTTCACCCTAATAAAGCAGGCTCTCTTTTCTAACCAAAAAACCCGGTGACATGCCAACAAGATTATAGTAAGAAAAGCATTCTGTAATTCACATTAAGCATTGCTTTCTAGAAAACATAGTCACACAAAATGATCCCATATGGGAAAATAAGCAGTCACTCTTCTACTATAAATCTATGTACTTTATTCAAAATAATAAAGCAATCTTCAATTAGAGTCAATATTTTGATCTATGGGTTGGCATAGGGGACTTGTATACTTTTGCAAACATATAAACACTGGCATAGTTCTTATATAATTGCCTTTTTTTACTAAAACCATGCCGTGTATGTAAAAAAAATATATTTGTCTTATTTGAATGAACCTCTTTTTCTAATGATGTATTCTTGTTTAACTTATCTAAAATAAATTTACTACTAGAAGACAAGTGGTACCTGTAAGAGGAATACTAAAATTCAAGTAAGTAAAAGAAAGCAGGGGGAAAAAGCAACAGGAAATGAGATGTAAAAAACCCTGAAATACACAACAGTATAGTTAAACTCATTATAATCCCCCATCTTTGAAGAATTTAGGAATAATTTGTGAATGCCATGACATTTTAAAGGGGGATTAGCAAGTCTTATTACTGAACTAACCTCTCGCTCTTAGATCAAGAATTAAATATTTGCTCTGCAATTTAGAATCACAAATCGAAACTTTCAAGACTCATATAGGAATTTCACATATGAAAACATACAAGTGAGAACTTTTAAGTAATGAGGAGTGTACAAGGTCAGATCATTGATGTACGTACAAAACCTTGTGCGTTAAAATTTTTTAAATGTATGATGACTTACGATTATACAGCTACTCCTAATGCTTACTGTTTCTAATAGCTGAAAAGCCTAGAAATACTCCTCACAAGTAGGCATGGGTGGGTACACCTAGTATTTTACACAGTGAAGGCTGCAATGGGTTCTGTTCAACTGTAATGCTACTTTGGGGGGGGGGAGGTTACACTTTCCAAAAATGCCAGGCTTGCTTTTTTCTTTCTTCCTTTTTCTTTCTTTCTTTTTTTTTATTTAACAACAGAAGGGGAAGGTGGTGCCTAAACATGTTTCTATATTCTAGTTTTTTTTAAAAAAAAAAAAGAACACCACCCAGTGAATTCTGCCAGAGTCTACAAATGTTTGACAAAACCCATTGTCAGAGATAAGAACTAGAGTATCAAGAAGAGGAGCTAGCGCTGTTCAGGAGTTCTGGGGAAAATGCTAGCACTTCCCCATCCCTTACATCCCCACCGCATGCATTCAGAAGTACCTGGAAACTTTTCTCTGGCTTGGAATCCTGACTTCAGAAAACAACAGTATATATATTTGCAATAGGACAAGACAGAATTGCCCGTTATCTTCTCTGCACAATAAAACTGGAATTACCACCCCGACTGTCTTAAAGGTGAGGCAGTAGGAATGGATCCCGAAATGCATTTCAGATGCTTAGGAAAGATCAGACACAATCCGCCTCAGCCTCCAACATCGGACGCCCTTTCCTACCGGCTGAGACACCAGACAGGGGCTGGCATGGAGTAGCAGGCGCGTAGACCCCTCTCATTGGGTTTTGTTTTTGTTTTCTTACTGCTCAGGTCGGGTGTGTGTTTGTTCCCCAGCCCCGTCCCATCCGGAGTTGCTGGATCAAGTTTCAGCGTGGGTTTCCCCCCCCCCCTTCCCTCAGCTCTCAACGTCTCTTTCCCTCACTTCTCTGGCAGTTGGCGAAGCCAGCTCCCCGCTTCCCGGGAAAGTGTGGGTGGGGGGCATACCCAGAGCTTCTCGCTCCCTGGAAGCCCCACAGGACGCTGCCAGGCGCCTCTACAGAGCCAGGAGGGGCTCCGCTATCACCCTGGGCATCACACCTCCGAAAGGTGGACCCGAGCCCTCCATCCACTAGGAGCGCCCAGCCCCTGAGCTGCAACCGGGGACTCCGGACTTTCCCCCCCTCCCAGCCCCGCCACCCCAGAAACCGAGCGCGCTGCCCAGCGCCTGGGGTGAGGTGCACTGAAGTTCCCAGCGGCGCTGGCCAGCCGGAGGTGACTGACGCTGGGGAGGGGCGGGGACCGGGAGGCCGGGCCGGGGCCAGCGTGCCCGCCGAGGCCGGCGCTCCTCCAACTGGGGACTGGCCAACTTGCTGCCGCCTCCGGGAGCGGCTGGGAAGGAGAATCGCGCGGCCCGAACGCGCTCTCGCCAGCCCGCCACCAGCCCTCCTGGTTCCTGGCGCCTAGGGGTGGGTGGGGTGGAGAGGGGGAGCGAGAGGGGGAGCGGGAGGGGGAGCCCCGGGACATGAGGACCCCAGCAAGGGCCGCCACGCACTTACCGCGCTCCACTCGCCCGCGCCGCCGGCTCGCTCGCCGGCCGCAGCCGCCACCGCGTCCACCGGAGCAGCGCGCACACCCAAGCGCTTGGCCAAATTCAAAGGAGCCGGGCGCAGGGGAGGGACGGGGGGGGTGGGCCGCGGCGGGAGCGGAGTAGGGGGGAGAAGGGGGCGGGGAGGGGGGCAGAACAGCAAGTGTTACAACTTCCTTCCCTGCCCACCGCCCGGCCCCGGCGGGGCGAGGGGTGCGGAGGGGAGGGCAGCGCGCGCCGTGCGCCAATGAGTTCACTTTCTTTTTCTCTCCCCCCCCACTCCCTACCCCGCGCGCTCTCTCGCTCTCTCCCCCCCACCCCTCCCGGCCCGCCGGCCCCTGCCAGCCTCCTCCGCCCGCCGTGGGTCAGCCGGGCCCGGGCTCGGAGTTTGTGCCGTCCGCCCGGGAGCGGGAGGATGGAGGAGGAGGAGGAGGCGGCGGCGGCGGCGAGGGGAAGAGGAAGCCGAGGAGGAAAAAGGTGGAGAGGCGCGCGGGGCGCTGTGCCAGGGAGTCGCATCCAGGACCGTGAGTGAGTGGACGGGGGACGCTGGGGCGGGGGCGGGGGGTGGGGGAGACGAGTGTGCCCGAGATCAGACGCGTGTACACGTGCGTGTGTGTGCGCGCGTGTGTGCGCGCGCGCGTGTGTGCGTGTGTGTGTGCGTGTGTGTGTGTGTGCGTGTGTGTGCGTGTGAGGAGGGAGAGGAGAGGAGCCTACCATGCGCTTCTCCCGGTGCCGCTCGCGAGAGAGCCCAATCACAGGGCGAGCCGGACCTGGCTGCGAGCATTTATAATCCGTGACTCCTCCGCTCCGCCACTTGTCAAGATGACAGGTACTTTATTTCTTCTTTATTCAAAAAGAGAGAGAAAGAGAGGGAGAGAGAGAAAGAGAGAGAGAGAGAGAGATTCCCCTTTTACTGCCTTTTTCTGTCAAATGGGATTTGCTGGACTGAACCACGTTTGCCGCCCCTTCCCTCCCTCCCTCCTCCGGGCCGCACGTTGGGTGGGGGGGGGCGGGAAGAGAGAGAGAGAGAGAGAGAGAGAGAGAGAGAGAGAGAGAGAGAGAGAGAGAGAGCTTGAGCGCACCCCGGCTTCCATGCTGTGACCAATCAGGGCATCTACTACTCTCGCCGTGATTTAGGGGTCATCCATGAATAACCCTTCCCGCTGATGAATGGCTCTCGGCGGCTTTTGGCTCTGGCTGGCGGGGTGGGGGGGTCTGCCCGCCGCTGATGGCAAACACTGATGAACTTACAGCGCCATTCGAAATGAATGCACACGCACCGACCCCGCGCCAGGGGCTGAGCGTGGGGGTCGGTCCTGCTCTTCTCCCGGTGATCCGCCGGAGGACCTGGGGGGGGGATGTGTGTGGGAGGGAGAGGGGGGCGGGTAATTGCTTTGGACTTAAGTGGAAACACTGCTCTGTGTAATCAAACCTCTAACCTTCTTAGAAAACTACTTTTCTTGATCTTCCATAGGGTGGGCATTTCAGGTCGTTCTGAGTCACCCGGGAAGGGTGGGAGAGCTAGACACTGCCGGGAAGATGGATTCGGAGGCAGAAGGGTATATAATTAAAGATTTCCACCCCCACCCCCCAGCTCCCCCGTAGGCGGCCCCGTCCTTCACTGAGCCTCGGGGAACGACCTGCGCGCCTTCTCTTCCAGAGAGCGTCCTCCTCTCCAACACTGGAAAGCGCACTTGACCTTCGGACTGGGGAGGGCCGCGCCGAGCGCTCCGACGTCCCTAGGAACCAACCAAGTGTCCGCCGCTCCCCGCCCCCCCCGCCCGACCCGGGTTCAAGTACCAGGACCTGCGACCAGCACCGAGCGAGCGGCGTGGGGCGCACTCAGGAGTCCTTTAACACCTCCAAAGGGGACCTCCCGCTCCAGCCGCCGTTCTCCAGCGTCCCTCCCACCGGCTCGCCCAGCAGGCACCACACCCCGCCCAGCCTCAACTTTATTTTCTTGAGGAGAGCGGTGGTGGAGGGGGGGCAGGGGGGTCTCCCGGCCACTTTGTACTCTCAGAAGTTGCTACCAAAACTCTAGCTCCAGGATCTCCACCCCCCCCTCCCACACACCCACCACGTTGTCCTTTGGCAGACACAAAGTACAGACTGGGGAACTTTCCAAACCACCCGAAATTTCTACTGCTTGGAGTTGGGGGGGACATCAAACCCGCCACCTCCTCGGATCCCCGCTCCGGTTCTCCGGACTCCACACCACTCTCAGCACCTTTCGGTTCTCCTGGGGGAGGGGAGGGGAGGGACGTGGCACTAAGGTGTGGTGTGAGCAATCGCAGTCACCTGTCGGTGATTGGGGGTGTTTACCGTCCCGTGATTTCACCCCACCCCCACCCCACCCCCATCACCTCCTCCTGGCTCCTGTTACCAGCCCGGGGCAGCCCCGGGGCAGTGTCCCCGCAGCCAATCCGTCTCGCCTGGCCGAGGGGCTGGGGCACTAAGCTCCTGCTGTCTTCCACTCTGAATTTCGGAGCGGAGGATTGTCTCTGGTCTGTACCTAACTCCGGGCTGCAAGCAAAGACGATTATATTTTTAACCGCGTGCAGAACACTGCCTCTTAGGAAAGCCTGGACCTTTCTGATACTTTCTCCAAAGTTTCGAACTGATAAGGAGAATGCCTAGACGCTAAGGGACCGAGCGCACCGAAATGCTTAGACAAGGCTGGGTTATCTGAGAACCCGAGCTGGCTCCTGGGGCGCTAGTGATGCGAAAGCAACACACACACACACACACACACACACGTGACTTTCTGGGACACGTCCCTGAGGCGGAACAGTCTCCTTCCTGCCATGAAAATTTCACACTTGAAAAAACGAAGGTGGTGGGGTCGGATGAATTACGTCTTTTTATTCTAGCCATCCTCATTATTTTAAGAAATTTGTCAGTCGTGAAGGTATGCCCCAAACATTACATGATAATCACGCAAACTGCTCAAAATTAGCATCCTTTACGTGACCTTAAGAAAACTCCACGGGTGGTGTTTCATAAATCACTTTGGTGGCCCAGTTCCCACAAAAACATATTAAATGTTTAAAACTTTTGTAATGCTCCAAGCTGGATTCCCCTTTTCTCTTTTGTACTTAACTCTCTAGGAATATACAATAAAGAGAAGGCACTGCTCCAATCCTAAAGAAGTCAGCAAATCTTCCTGGTGGGAGTTGGGGTGGGAGGAGATGGGGGTAGTGATCTTTTCAGCTCTGTTTTCTGGAACCCTCATTATCGTGAACGTTGGTAATAAATGAAGGAAACAATGGAACTCATAAAATTTAGAAATGGTAATAAATCTTGGAGCCTGTCTGTAGCCCAGCTCCCTGTTACACAATATTCCAAGTTTTTCAGTATGTGATGCTGAACACACAGCCTAAATGGATGCAATAGAGAGAGAGGGAAATAGTCTAGAACTCATTGCTATGGCCAGAGCACTCAGTGGTCAAAACGTGGCAGGCATCCTCTTCAGAGTGTTTGCTGTAAGGCTCAGCCTGTAACTCAAGCAGTGTACTTGTTACACTGGCATCTTCCTTCACCTGTCTCTCTGTTTTCCTAACAAAGAAGTTCCATCGTTCGAAGATGAAGAGCTGGTGTGTAGTGCCGAACTACGACAGGCTTCCTCCTGCAAATGCATCCCTGAAAAGCTCAGAGACAGCTTGCTCAGCTGACCACCCAGCTCTTCTTCACCTCCTAGAGTGGTTGTCAGTGGAGGGTGGGGAGGGAGGGGCAGGCAGGTGGCTTTTCCCGTGCCATTGCAACAAGAAAACCAGGAGTAAGAAATGCAAGACATTGGTCCCTGTCTGTTTTGCAAACCTCAGGCTGATCACAGAAACTTGCTTGGGCTGGTCACTGCACCCTGCACCCCCAGCCAGGACTATGTCTATGTGGGATAATGGAAACCAGCAAGGTCCCCCTCCCTCCCTAGGGTCCCCCTGGTCAAGAAGGCAGCCATCCTAGCAATCCCTTTCCCTATCTCTGGAAATGCCTGTCTGGGAGGGGGCCAGGACTCTGGACTGGCTAACTTTGGGGTAAGGATGCTTATGCCATCAGAACTGGGGTAAACTAGGAAAGGGACAGGTTCTTGCCCTGCTTCTGAGGCAGGGTTAACAGCACCCTACTCTGCCACTCCAATTTCCCAAGGGCCAACCCACAGCTAAATGTCATTCCCTATCTCCTAGTGATGCTAGCCAAATTTTAGTTGGAACCTGCTCTTCCCCTGGAGGCTCTTGCAGATGGAGGGGCGGATCACCTGTAAGTTTTCTCCTTTCTTGAAGACCCAGCCTAGAGCTGACAGGCTGGAGAGGGAAGGGGCCACAGGGCATCTGTTCCTTCTCCCTCTCTCCTAGGGAGCCTCCCTCTCTGCATCCACTTCCTCCTTTGACTTAAAAGTCTCTCAGGTTTGCAGAAGGGGGGCACCAGGTTGAGCAGGTATGAGGATCTCCAGAGAGACTTAGGGACATCAATGAGTTTATAAGTATTCTTTGGGCTTATTCCATCGGGTCTAGCAAATGAAGGTTTGAGTGTCTGACTGCTGGCCCCAAACCAAGTTGCCAGAGACCAAGACCGCTACCACCCAAAGGACTCTAGACATTGGTGAGGAGCTAGAAAAACAAAGGACATGGGTAGGGCCAAGTTCAGGCTAGACCTACATCTACTGGCTCAGCCCTTGAAAAGTATCAGGAAAACCAGAACTCCAAAAATGTCCAAACAGGGATTATGTCTAATCGGACACAATAAGTGATAAAAAAAAAACCCAGCTTCCAAAATAGTCCCTTAGCAAGTTCTAGATGTGTGAAATGTTCTCCTTAAACTAGTTACTTTGCGTGTAGCAAACAATCTGGAACAATGTGCAGCACTAGAACTTAAATTTTACACTTCGGTCTCTTGAGTCACTGTATAGTTATTATCAGGTTTGTTGTTTTGATTTGTTTCTTTTCTTTTTCACTTGCAAAAATAACTTATTTCCCTTGACAGTTGGATGGAAGGAAACTGTAAAACAAATAATTCTAATCTGATCACTGACAAAGTCATAAAATTAAATGACTGCTTGTAGAGGAAAGTAGACTTTCATTACCTTAATTAAAGCAAGATAGGCCTCTCTCACCACTCATACATTTTGGAGCCCTGGAGTGGACTGGTGATTCGACGAATCAACCTTTTTTAAATGGGGTCTGCCTTTTCAGTACATTAGTTTGTGTTCCATGACATAAACAGAGCTTGCATGTGGCTTTGACCTTTGATGGAAACAGCGTGGAACACACACCAATGCAGATGAACTTTTGCTAGAGCATCAGAAAAGGACTCAAGTTCTTTGAAATGATTCTGGACACCAAAGCATCTTTCCATAGGTGGTCCTTTCAGTTTTAGGTGAGTGACATATATGTGTTTAGAATTTGCCACAAAACCCCACACTGGAAGATGGAACCTTTATAATTAATAGTGATTATGGGTGCCTTTCAAAGTCTTAGGTTTTTGTCCAAGTGACTTGTTAGCAAACAGTATATATAGTGTGTCTGAGGTAGTCACTAGATGCTGGCTTATCAGACAAAGTAATAGAACAAATTTTTTAAATAAAACAATAGCCTTTAAAAATTTCAGAGATCAGTTCATAAATTAACTTATAAATACATTAACTTGTAAATTAATTTGTAAAATATAAGTATCCAGTGACTATAATTCAGTGTTAGATGAATTATCCTTCTCATTTCCCAGACGCACCCAACTCTATCTGCACCGCTTGCTGACCCTCGGTCTACAATGTGGGGTACTTGGGTCCTTGAAAGGCCCAATTTAGAAGCTCTAGTAATGATCTCCCCACAAGCAGTGCTCCCAATCCACTTTCTGTGTGTAATACAGATGCTCTTGCCCTGTTGTTTGCCTTTAGTGAAGGGAATTGACCTTATTTCTCTGTGAATCCACAGGATCAACCTTATGAGCTGGCCTATAGAAGATGCTGAGTTTGTTGTGATACATGGGAATGAGTAGATACCTAAAAACAATTCTTTTATCATATTTTGTGACTCCAACTTTCTTTGCAATAAGCATAATGTACCTTAAAATATATTAAGTATATTTTATTACTTGTCAGATCCTTTTTTAAACAGTGGGGGCATAGTTTTAAATTTTCATCATTATAGGAAGACACTTTTGAACTTAGCTGACTTTTCTCAGAAACAAAATCAAAAATGAAAACAAAGACTGGGAAAAAGGCAAAAAGAAACAAATTTTCTTCCCTCATTCTTAGTATGATGAAGTATTGACTGAAAACGGGAAAATTGTAGCAAGCACCAAACAAATGTAGATAATCTATGTATTTTATATTAAATGTGACACTATTATAAAACCCTTATTGTCTTCCAAATTACCTTTGGGTTTTTAATGGTAAGAAGTATAGAGCTTAAGACGACTGCTTTTCATTTCTTTGAGACAAGGGTTCAGCTGGTATTGGGGAAACAATCTCTGTCTTTCTTGTCTGCTCAGGAGAGCTGTTTCTAATTGATCTGGCACGGAATTTAGTTGGAGATGTGTATGTTTGCAACCGAAGCACAGAGCCTGTATGCGTTGTAAGGTGATACCCATATGGGCCTTATTTGAAATACTTAAGGATTTTTGACATTAACCTGGGTTAAATTGAGCTATAAATTCAACTCAAGTGTATATGTCCCGACAAATTCATCATCACTTTGGGTAGACTCAGTCCATTAATAAAGATGATGACCACTTATCACAAATGCAAAGGTTTGCTGTGATAAAATGCCCCTTATGTTGCAGTTCGTACTGTTTAAATGCAAATTGTCCGTATTAAACAGACATTTTCTACTGTTATCACTTTCCCTAGAATGGAAATGTTTAAAAATGATCTCTGGGTAAAGAAAAGGATATATAGTCAAATCTATTTCCTCTTCCAGTATTTTCAAGTGCACTTCGCTATCATCATGAAGATTTAATTAAGCAAGCTCAGCTAAGCTAAAAAGCCAAAGCGGCTGGAAGTTACTACTTATAGAAGCACATTCAGGATTTCTACAAAATAATTTATTTACTATTCTTCATTTAGGGATCTGAGCCACCACTGAAGGTTAAAAATACAGCCGAATTCTATAGCATCCTCTCCCTATTTCTGAATATCAAATTTAGAGCTTTACACTTTGCTCCTGATAATAGTACCAAGTTATGGATGTTGATGGTCCCTTCCCTTGCAGCTTTAAATTGCCTTGAAAAAGATACAGTTTCTTTAATTAAAAAAGCTGCACAGAACTAATCCCTCTAGCTGAAAAAAGAAAAGTTTTAAGCAATCTCTTTCTGCTCGGAGAGAGAAAGGCAGACAATACCATAACAGATCAGAAACATAAGCTATAGTGTGCAGCCAGGAACACAGCAGGGAACTGAATACTGCTCCGACTGTGTCATTTTTTAATCCCCCATCCCGGTTTTCCCCGTCTGACCTCATGCTGAGATGAAGTTATCACAGAAGACAGCTTTACTCTCACCAATGAATCCAACCCTGGATCTGTATTATCCTCAGCAGATCAAAACACCGCTTTCATCAAATAGCATTATCTGCATAAAAGGCATGCAATTGCCCGATAATTTCACCCAAACTATGCTATTCATTTAAAGGACAAGAAGAGAAATGT